AAAAACTTTTTTTTAAAAAAACTGACAGTTTAACTTAGTGTGAAGCCCTGAGTTCAAACCGTAGTACTACAAATAGAAAAAGGAGGTAGACACATAGTATTTGAAGACTTATGGCTGGACAATATCCCAAAACTGAAGAAAAACAGCAAACTACCTAAATTCAAGAATCTCTATGAATCACAAACACAATAAATATAAAGAAAACATAAGTACTGTATATGAAGTCATATTGGTCAAAACAATGAAAAGATAATCTTAAAAAGCAGCAAGAGAAAGGAGAAAAAAAATCTATGCACAGGGCAATAAAAACAAATGAAAAATAAAAATATGATCTTTTTATACAATAGAGTACCATTTAGCCATAAAGAAAGAACATGAGACATTTCTAGCTAAAAGGATTTTGAGTTTTTTTTTGTTTTTTTGGTACAGGGGATCGAACTCACAACCTCACGTTTGCCAGGCAGGCGCTTATGCCGCTGAGCTAAATCTCTGGCATTTCTAGCTAAATGGATGAACCTTGAAACCATATTCTTAAGTGAAATAAATTGGAGACATGTATAAATACCACATTTTTCTGGTGTGTGAAATCAAAAGTGTAAACAAGGACCAAAGTGTATCACAGATATTGTGAAACAGGAAAAAAAATGTTCAAATGGAAAGGGGAACTAGGGAGTAACAAAGGGTAAAGGAAGGACGGAAAAGAAAAAAATGAGAAAAGCGGAAAAATGCAACAAAGCTTTTGTAAATAAGGAGGGGTAATGGTGTTGAAGGGAGGGGAAGGGAGGGTAGGGGAAAGGAATGGAAAAAAAAAAAAGAATCAAGTTGCCAGTCTTGGTGGTGCATGACCAAAATCCCAGCACTCAGGAGGCTGAGGCAGGAGGATCATTGCAAATTTGAGACAAGCCTGGGCTACAAAGTGAGTTCAAGGCCACCTCAAAATGCATAATGGGACCTTGTCTCAAAACAAAACAAAAACAACAAAAAACCAAACCAAGTTATACCATGTATACCTAAAATGTACCAATAAACATAATTTTTAAAAATGTGTCAGAAACAATGAAGGCCAGAAGCCAGAGACACGTTTAAAGTAGGGTACTGGGAAGCTTGAGGCATAAGAACATGTCTAGCATGTATATGGCCCTAGATTTAATATGCAGTACTACAAAAATAGTAATAAAGTACTATGGAAAATTCCACCTAAACTCTATATCCAATAAAAAATATGCTCTGAGTGTGGTATCCTAGCATGGATTTGTAATTACACCACTTTGTGAGGCTGAGGCAGACAATCTTAAAATCTGAGCCCAGCTTGCACAATTTAACATCTTGCCTCAAAAGAAAAAATAAAAGGTTTGCAGAGGCATTGGAGACTGTAATTCAATGCAAACATTTCTGGTTCAGTCAGTAGTGCTGAAAACTAAAACAAAAATTTAAAACACAAGGATTCAAAATTGTAAGTGAGGCTGAGGCAGAAGATCACAGTTTGAGCCCAGCCAAGACTACACAGTAAGTTCAAGGGTAGCCTGAAGTACATAGCAAGTTCTATCTCACACACACAAAAAGGGAACAAAGACATTTTTTCTTTTTTCTTTTTATTTTAAAAAGAATAAACCAAACCAAACCAAACCAAAACAGATCAGAGTAAAACAATGCAAATAGCACAAGACTTCAAGATAACAGAAAGTCAACAGGGCTACCACAATGTCTTTCATTTTTTTTCTAAATAGTTACAAAGACATTTTCAAACAAATCTGTCACCAGCAAACCTATAACGAGGAAATGCTAAAGAAAATTCTTTAAGCTAAAGTGAAATAGTATGTGGGAATTTGACAGAAACGCTGGAAAAAGTATATTATTTTAGTTTTAGACGGAAAAGAATGTATATAGAAACTCTAAGGAATCTCCCCTCAACTCCCGCCTTAAAAAAGCAACTAATAGGGGCTGGGGATTTAGCTCAGCGGCATAAGCGCCTACCTTGCTAGCAGGCAGTCGTGAGTTTGATCCCTGGTACCGATAAAAACACACACACACACACACACACACACACACACACACACACACAAAAGCAACTAATAGAATATAGTAAATTAACTCTTCCTTAAAACTTCAGTTTCTTTAAAATGAATGAATTGTGTACTTTTGGAATTATTTTTTAAAAAGACAAAAAAATTTTACTTTCCTTGGTTTCAGTTAATTCCAAAAGTATACAATTGATTAGTTTTAATAAACAATTCTGAAGTTTTAAATTGCATGTTGAAAGCATCTGCCTTCTCATAAGCCTTATGGGTTTGCAGACTGCCTATTTGGTGCTGTTACAACGCTTGTGTTCAAGTAATATTTATTTTACTCAATGCAGAAGAATGGCAATGCTGGCAATTCAGATATGCCAAAGAGAAGCTCAAAGTGCTTCCTTTAAGTGACATATACAGGGTTTGGTGCTATCCTAGGTTTTAGGAATCCACTGGGAGTATTAGAAAGTTATGTTTCACAAGTATGGGGAGGACTAATATAAGAATTTAGCAATACTAGATTGATTATTTTAGAATTTCTTCTCTTACTGTATCTCTTCAACATTATACTAGAGGTGTTTAAAATCAATAATGGAAGAAAAAAAAAGGCCAATCTTGAAAAACAAAATTGTCATTATTCATAGATGACATGATTGTACATAAAAACTCTGAGAACTGTAAGTAAATAAATTTAGCAAGGTCTATTTAAAAAATGATATTTCTCTGCAGTAAAAGTATTTTTAAAAACTATTTTCTATGGCATTATACATATCAAACACAGGATCTGGGCTTGTAACTCAGTGGTAGAGCTTGCTTAGCATGCATATTGTTCTGGATTCAATATCCAGACATGCACACACACAAAAAAAATTCCCACAAAATATAGAAATAAATCTAATGAAAAAGGTCAACACCTGTACACTGAACTCAAAACACCGTTAAGAGAAATTAAAGATCAAAACAAATGGAAATATAATGTTATTCAAAGACTTAACTTTTTGGTCAATTTTCCCTGAATTAAGTTGTGGATCAAAATCCCTGTAGGAATTTTTGTGGAACTTGCAAGATAATGCTTCATTTTTTTTTGAGACAGGGTCTCAGTAGGCAGTTCAGGCTGGCCTCGTGCTCACCTTGTAGCCCAGGCTGGTTCCTAATTTGCAAGGATCCTCTAGACTCAGCCTCCCAAGTGCTGGGGTTACTGGAGTGCGCCTCCAACCCCAGTTGGTAATTCTAATGTATATATACAGAACCTAGAATAGCCCTGGGGAGGTATTTCAATGCACAAGAGCTTAGCATGGTGAAAACCTGGGTTCAGTCCCCAGCAGGAAGAGGAGGGGGAAAGGAAACAAGAGGGAAAAGGAGAAAGGAAGTATGGTATGAACACAACAAAAAATAAAGCCACAAAAGATATATTTCTCTTATTTCTTTGCATTATTTCTACTACTAATAATACTAATATAATTTGTGTGAGTGTGTGTGTGACGCTGGGAATGGAACCCTGGGGCTCACCTGTACTAGGCAAGCACTTTTACCACCAACCTACATCTCCAGTCCTGTACTTTACATTTTGTAATATTTACTTTTAAAAAGCTAATAAAGTCATGATACTCCCTCAGTAGTGCTGAAAACTAACACAAAAGTATTTGAAGTGTTTCAAAACAAAAGTGTTTGAAGTATTTTGGCTACTTTCAAAACAATAACGTGTTAAGATTAACACAGACGTTAAGGAAGCAGTAGCTTTTTCTACTGAGTGAATACAGTTCAGTTCTTTGTATTGAGCTCTGGTATAGATCAGGATAACGACAGGTTTGCACTAGTCCTTTTTTGGATTTGCGCTTGTTTAAATTCACTCACATAAATCTTAGGCTTAAATTCACTACTTTAGCAAGTACTTTACTCCTTTAATGCTTCTGCCTCAACGTAAGAGTTAAATGAGGGGCTGGGGATTTAGCTCAGTGGCATAAGCGCCTGCCTTGCAGGCAGGCAGTCATGAGTTCGATCCCTGGTACCGATAAAAAGGAAAAAGACAAAAAAAAAAAAAAAAAAAAAGAGTTAAATGAGGAGTGCTGTAAAGTTCTTGCTATAAATATTGGATTCTGATATATTTATGATGAGGAATACAAGTTACCATCAAGTATCATTGGTAGTTCAACTCTTAAAGCAAAAATTGCTCACTTCGTTGTTTTGGTTTTCTTTGGGCGCAGACAGGGATCAAACTCAGGGCCTTAACTACATTCCCACTCCCTACCCCCACATTTTTAAGCTTCTGTTTCAGTTTATATTATGTGTGCTGCCACTGCATTCTGTGAATGTTCATTAAATTACGTTTGCAAACATTAATGTATGCAAACCAAGATATTCTCAATCCTGCACACTGAAGCTAAATACCACACCTTCATCTAATCCGAATTTCAAATCCCAATTCAGGAATAAAAAATTTTATAATTACTTCGTCTCTTTAGCCCGAATTCCGTGGACAATTCTGTTTGCAAAAGCTGTTTCATGGCTTTTTTTTGAATTAGAAAAATCTAGGGAGGCTGAGGCAGTAAGGATCCCTGCGAGTTCGAGGCCAACCTGCGCTACAAAGTGAGTTTAAGGCCAGCCTGAACAACATAGTGAGAGCCTGTCTCAAAAAACGTCAAAAAATTTAGAAAAATCACTGCTTAATGAGAATCACAGGTATAATCGGATGAGTGTTTGTGAAAGGAAGGCCGCTCAAGTGAGGAGGCAGGAGCTAGTAGACGCCACGAATCGCCAGAAGAGGGGGCAATGATCCCGATTCTCTGCAGACAACGTTGAAGGGCTAACCGGCAAATCAAATTTGGGCTTGGCCTGGAGTTCCCGACCCCCAGGTTCTAGAATCCGGATGGAAGCCTGCGTCTCTACAATCCCGGCTCTATCAAGCTTGGCATCCTCCCTCCGACAAAAGAAATCTGCCCCTTTCTAGTAACGCGCCGCAGAAAAGCCCGAAAGCCGCAAACGGAATCTTACTACTTTCTCTCAGGAGGAAGCTCAGCGAACAAGCATCTCACAGGATCTTCCACACCAACCGGGCCCGCCGACCCCGCCCCTCTCCCGCCGTCCTCTGCGGCTGAGCATGCGCAGTGCGGCAGGTCCCGGCGAGGTCTCCGTACCTTGGGAAGCACGACCTTGCTTAGGCAAGGTGGTGGGAGAGGGGGAGGGGAAAAGGCCGTTCCTAGGGTTAGTCTTTTGTCATTGAAGTCATCTTTAGCTGCCAGCCAATTTGGGTCCGTTGAAAACGTGCAAACGGGGGTGACATTCAGCCTGTCGTAGTTGCGGCCCTTCACCTGAGTACCGTGGTCCAGTTCGTCGTAACCTTGCGAAGGAGGCCCCGGCGCTGGCGAACGCTGCGCGACTTGTTAGAAGCCTCTCTCTATTGGAGGCTGGAGATTTAGCTCAACGGCATAGTGAGTTCGATCCCCGGTACCGATAAAAAAGGAAAAAGACACACACACACAAAAAAAAAAAAAAAAAAAAAGAAAGAAGCCTCTATTGGCCATGTTTTGTCAGTATGCCAAGATTGAGCTGGTTCCTCCAATCCCTGCAGAGATCCTTGCAACTATTCAGAGCCTGGAAAAAAAAAAAAAAAAGTCAATAGTGCTCTGACTGGTAGCTTCAAACAGCTTACAGTTAAGGTTGATAAGATTTGCTGATTTGAGATGATGGCTCCGTCACTTGGAAGTTATTAGTGATTTGACAGTTTCTTCATTGGTAAAATGGTGGTAATTACTGTGGTTGCTACATAGGTTTGTGAATATCAGGCAATGTTAGCAAAGAGTCAGGTGCAGAGTAAATTCTCAGTACACTTACCCGTAGAAGCACAGAATTCTGCCATTTTTGGGGTGCTCTAGGGATATTAGATATTAAACTAAGCCCAAAAGTGTGTGGCAAAAATTATATTATGAAAATGGTTATAGTTAACAAAGTAATACTGGATAGCTCCGGTCTCGGCCTTCATCGTGGATGTCATCGCTTTGCAAAGCTGTAAAGAAGAGCAAATGTAAATATGTCTTTGATGTGGGACACACATAATTATTCTCAGTGGGTGGAGTTGATGTATTCAAGCCTTAAGGGTCTTTAAGGGCCTTCTGTGAACTAGAGTAATGGATCATGTCAAATTAGCTCCTTTAATGTATAACTTGACATAACACAGTTATTCCTGTGAGGTCATCAGAGTGCAAACTGACCCAAAGAAAGCCTTTCTAGGACACTTGTTTGTTCACACCATTCTCTCTCATACCCTTAAAGCCTGTAAAAACCCATCTTCCACTTGATGGTTCCATCTCTTCCTTGGAAACTTGTCTGCTATCCTCTTGATGGGGTACTCCAACCTAAATAAACTATTCTATTCTTAGTAGTTCCCATACACTGTCTCGCAGGGCAGCAAGAACTATATTGTAAGTGGGAAAATGTAGTGTCTTAGACAAAGTTAATTACAATTGGCTTGCTGGGCATAATGGTGCAGACCTGTAACCCCAGCACCTAGGAAGCTGAGGCAGGAGGATTGCCATGAAGTTGAGGCCAGCCTGAGTTACATAGCAAGCACCTGTCTCAAAAAACAAAAACAAACCCCCAAAATTGGCCAAAGTAAAGTTTGAAAATAGCCTGGTTTTGGGGTAACTCAATGGCACAGGGCTTTCAGAGCATGCTCAAGGCCCTGAGTTTGCCCCCAAAATTTTCTTTCTTTCTTTTTTTTTGGTCTTTGTCTTTTTTATCGGTACTGGGGATTGAACTCACCGGGGGATTGAACTCATGACCACATACTTGTAAGGCAGGTGCTTATGCCGCTGAACTAAATCCCCAGCCCCTGGAAACAAAATTTTCAATGGGTCTAATATACCAAAAGTAACTCTATGGATTAGATCTGACTCACAGTCTCTTATGTCTTACATCTATCTGTATTACATGGCTGCTATTAGAAGCCAAGGTTACCATTCATTGAATCTTAAGTGTCACTCCTACCAATTTAACCCCTGGAAAAGTGTTCAGATCAGAAGAAATAGGTTTTGTTGCACAAGAATCAAAATCTGTTAGAAATTTTTAACACCCAAGGTCACAAAACACCTCAGAAAACAACAGAAACAATATCTGCCAGAGCTAAATTTTCAAGAAGATTTATTGGAGTGCTTTGGATCTTCCTGCCTCAGCCTTTGGAGTTGCTAGGATTAAAGGCATGCATCTGGCTTTTCCCAGTTCTTGGTGGGACTAGAAAGAAAGAGGAATCAAAGAACTAAAAGAAAGAAGTTCTATTATGTTCCACAGGTCTGGTGTCTAGGGATCCCCACACTTACTTTTGCCTGGCTTCTCTGTCTCTCTCTGACTAGAAAGAAGAGTCAGAACAGACCAGTACAAAGCAAAGTAATTTTATTATAAGGGTTGCTAGAGAAAGTGGTGAAGATCCACTCTGAAGAGTGGCAAGGCCCAGAGCTGGGACAACAGTGAATCTGGGCTTCAATCCTGTTTGTTGGGGTAGGGGCAACACTTAGCTGGATATTGGGGTGTTGCTAGGAGTCTGGTCCTGTGGGCTAATAGGGGAATTTGGGTAGGCATGGCAACCCGCACTAGGAAGGGACAGTGCTGCCGTTGCAGAGGCAGGTATCAAAATCACAGACTCAGTATTGTTTTAAATTGCGTCTCTCACCCGGTTGTGGTGGTTCACGCCTGTATTCCCAGCCCTCGGAGTCTGAGGCAGGAGGATCCTAGTGAGTTCGAGATCAGCCTGGGTGAGCTCAAGTGAGCTACAAAATGAGCTAAAGGCCTGCCTGAACTGCATAGTGAGACCCTGTCTCAAAAAAATAAAAATAAAAATAAAAATAAAAAAATTGCATCTCTCGAATGACCAGTGATGTTGAACATTTTTTCACTTATTTATTTGCTGTTCATACTTCTTCATTTGAGAAGTGTGTTTTCATCTCAGATGCCCATTTTTGGACTCTGCCTTTAAACCTGGGAGGACTGGTGTTTTTTTTTTTTTTTTTTTAATTCTTTATATGCTCTCAATAGTAATCCTTTGTCAGAGGAACAGCTTGCAAACACTTCCTCCCACATTGTGGGTTGTCTCTTCACCCTGTTGGTAGTTTCTCTTGCTATGCAAAAGCTTTTCAGTAGAGTGAAATCCCATTTGTTGATTCTTTGCAGTAGTTCCTTTACAATCTGGGTTTTGTTCATAAAGTCTTTGCCTACGCGAATGTCTTCAAGAATTTTACCTACTCTATCTTCCAGCAGATTTAATGTTTCTATTGAAATATTAAGATCGTTGATCCATTCTGATTTTAGTGTAGTACATGGTAAAAGATATGGGTCCAGTTTTAATCCTCAGCATGTGTAGGGCCAGTTTTTCCAGCATCATTTATTAAAGAGGCTGTCTTTCTTTCAGTGAATGTGTTTGGTAACTTTGGTAACTTAGGGTGTCTGGAGTTGTTTCTGCATCTTCTAATCTTTTCCATTGATATTCAGGTCTGGTGTTTTTTTGTTTTTGTTTTGCCAGTCCCTCACTGTTTTTTGTTTTTTAATCACAGTAGCTTTATAGTATAATTTCAAGTCAAGGATTGTGATACCCCCTTTCTTGTCTTTGTTACCCAGGCTTGCCTTTGCTATTCTAGGTCTCTTTTGGTTCCAGAAGAATTTTAGTATTGTTTTCTCTAATTCTGTGAGAAATTCTATTGGAATTTTGATTGAGATTGCATTAAATTTGTACAACAGTTTTGAAAGTATGGCCATTTTCACCATATTGGTTCTTTTCTACCCAAGAGCATAGGATATCTCCCATTTTCTAACGTCCTCTTCAGTTTCCTTTTTCAGAGTACTGTAGTTTTCAATGTAGAAGTCTTTGTTAGATTGATTCCTAGCTATTTCATTCTTTTGGCTGTTATTGTAAAAGGTATTGTATCCCTGAATTCTTTCTCAGTGAGTTTGTTATTTGTGTATGGAAAGCTTTGACTTTTGAATGTTGACCTTGTAATCAGCTATGTTACTGAATTTGCTTATTAAATTTAGTAGTCTTTTGATGGAGTTTTGGGGGTCTTCTAAGTAGAGTATCATGTCATCTACAAACAGTAGTTTAACTTCTTCCTTTCCTATCTTTATTCCTTTGATTTCTTTCTCTTGTCTAATTGTTCCAGCTAAAGTTTCCAGCACTATTTTGAATAAGAGTAGAGACAGTAGACATCCTTGTCTTGTTCTTGGTTTTAGAGAAAAAGCTTTCAGTTTTTGTCCTATTAGTATGATGTTGACTGTTGGTTTGTCATAGATGACTTTTATCAGATTAAGATAAAGACCATTTATTCCAATTTTTCTGTTAGTTTTTATCATGAATGGATGCTGGACTTTGTCAAAAGCCTTTTCTGCATCTATTGAGATGATGATATGATTTTTGTCCTTGGCTCTGTTAATATGGTGCATTACATGTATGGATTTATAATATATTGAACCATCCCTGCATCCCTGGGATGAATCTCGCTTGATCATGGTGTATAATATTCTTAACGATTTGCTGCAGTCTATTTGTCAGTATCTTGTTGAGAACTTTTGCGTCAGTGTTCATTAGAGAAATTGGCCTATAATTTTCTTTCTTAGTTGGGTCCTTCTCTGGTTTTGGTATCAAGATAAACCTTGTTTCCAACAATGAATTTGGAAGTAGTGCTTCCCTTTCAATTTCATTAAACAGTTTGAGAAGTAGTGCTGTTAAGTCTTCTCTAAATTTCAGCAGTGCCTGGGCCTGGCCTTTTCTTTGTTGACAGGTTTTTAATTACATCTTTGATTTCTTTGATTGATATTGGGTTATTTAGCATTTTTACATTTTATTGATTCAGCTTCAGTAATATATCTAAGAATCTGTTCATTTCTGCCATATTTTCCACCTTATTAGAATACAAGTTTTCAAAATAGGTACAAATGATCTGGATTTCTGCAGGATCTGTTGTGATTTTGTCCTTTTCTTTCCTAATTGTGTGGGTTAGCATCTTCCCTTTTTAAAAGAAGGTTGGTTAAGGGTTTGTCAATTTTATTTACTCTTTTAAAGAACCAACTCTTAAATTCATTGATTCTTTGTATTTTTTCTTTTTTAGTCTCCACTGTGTTAAT